GAACCTCACAGTCAGTCATGATAGCAATTATTCATTATTGAATCACAAGAGTCCTATCCCCATCTCCTTTCATCAACCCCTTTCATCTTTCCAACAGATTGGAAACCACTCAGCGGAGATTCTACCTTCCCCCGTCCCCTCTGGAACTAGGCTCCCTCTTGAAAGCTTGTAAGCCAGTCACTTCTTGCCTTTGTAACCCCACCCCCCCCACCCCATTTTGGGTAGCCAGTGTCTTAAGTTGTCCATCCCTGTCAACCCTGTGTACCAAGGGGGGTGGGAATTATCATCTCTGTAAAGATTTGTTCCCTCTTTTGAGCTACTACATCCATAAGTATAGGTCCAGTTCATCAAATTATAGTGGATTACTCTTTTTTTTCCCCTCTTCTTTCTTCTTCTAGTGGAGTTCTGGTGGTCATCCAGCCATTGAAGTCAGGTCAGTTGAGTACTGTCTGCAAATGTGGGTGTTCTTGTGCATCTCCCCTCACTTTCATATCAGCTGGATGCTTCACTCTCCACTCTAGTCCTTTGTGGCCATATCACTGTCTCTGGGCCCAGAAGTCCCCGGGCCTTGCTGTATTGCTGGCCAACCAGGTCTCCACCTGGGTTCACAGGAGTCTATTTAACGAGGTCGGTCTTAGCTCACAACTTCAATGCTGTTTTCCCCCCACTTCCCCTTATCTTTGACCAACATAGTCACCTGCCTGCTCATGTATTCCCCTTGAGTCTTAGTCTTGGAAGGGGGTTTGCTCTGAGGGGAACTGACCATTTGCCTTGATGGCTCCCGGGTGAACAGCTTGCTTGTTCTTGTAGTAGTCAGACTGCCATTATTGTTTTTGATTTTTCCTGCTCGTCTGTCTTTCACGAATTATCTGTGAGAAGTACTTTTGAGGGGATATGATCTTAGAAGACCTTAAGCTTTGGACATTGGTGGTACAGTGCTATGCTTTGGGGAACACGTTGGAGGACGACCATCACCCTCATCAGGGACCTGCTGTGGTTTACCAGGTGCAGATTGAGGAGGTCCTAGAGCATAGATGGTAGCCAGTATCTCTTCTGCATTTCTGTAGTGTTCTTTGTTTATTTGAGGAGTATTCAGGTTTTGTTGGGTTTCTTTGTGATTTTTTTTTTTTTTTTAAGGTTTTTATTGTGGATTGAGTGAAAGTTTACAGGGCACTTCATCAGTTTCACATTCAACAATTCATATAACTTGTTTCATTACATTGATTATATCCCCTCCATATACCATCAGTTAAAAGTATTTCTCTCTACCTACTTTATCTTTTTAAAAAACACGCAAACAAAAAAACCCACACAGGCATATATAATAATTTACATCTCCAAAGGGCACATTTTGCAAGTCTGCTCCTGCTTACCAGTTCTTAGTCCTTCTCTTCTTAGTCCATGAATCTTGAGTCCTCAGCCGCTCCCCGTCTCCATGCCCCCATCTCTGCCTCCATCTCTGGTGCTGCTGCTTCTCTGGATAAGGTTCCGCATTCTGCTTGTGCATTCCTTTCTTGATGGTCGTAGGGTCCTCTGTTTCTGGACTGTAAGATTAATCACTCCCCTTTTTTGTTACAAAACTTCTGCCTTTACAATTGTGACAGTCGCGATTAGTCATGATAACAGTTACTCACTATTGAATCTTACTAATCTTATCCCCATCTCCTTTCACCAGACTCATCTAGACAAGATGACAGCTATTCAGTGGGAACTCTTTCTTTCCCCTCACACTCTTAACTAAGCTTCCTCTTGAAACCTTGTAAGCCAGTCACTTTGTGCCTTTATTGCCCCCTCATTTTAGATAGCCAATGTCTAAGTTGCCCAGCCCTATCTACCCTGTGCACAGAGCGGATAGCATTGATACTTGATGTGAAGATTCTTTCCCTCTCTATTGGTATTTAGAATAACTACCGCTCTGAGTATAGGTCAGGTTCATCATGAAGGTGTATCTTCTGTCACTGTAGCTGTTCCAGTCTGCTTGTCCTTTCTAGTGGGAATGTCTCACCTCATAAGGTTATGGATGGGACTCAGGATTCCACCTGAGGTCCTATACTCTGTAAGGTTTGCATGAGGCCTATTTCACTGGGCAAGTTGTAGAACCCCTTTTAGGTATTCCAATCATTTATAGGCTAAAGGTGGGCTTACAAGTTTTCTTTAATCATGTTTTCCAACATTCCTTTCTATTCCACTCAAGCGTCTATTTTACAATAGTAGGCAAGGGAAACTAATATCATAAGGCAGTCAAGGATTTTAGTATTATTTACCGTCTTCAAGCTATACCTAAATCCCTGTATCCCAGAGCCCTGTTGTTCCAAGGTTGAGTATGCATCACTATATCCCTCTGTCCCACTAGGCCATGCAAACTGGTCTCAGTGTTCCCCTATCTATCTTGTTCTTCTGCCTTCTCCCCCCTTCTTGTATTTCCCTCCCCAACATCCAAACTAAACCCCCCACCCTAACCCCATTGTGGGTACCTTATATTCCATTAGTTCTTCCCTCCATTTAAGATAGTCTATTTTATCCAGTAATCTACCTGACCTTCCAACCCCCTGGATCTCTGTTCCTCTGTGTTTACCTTTTTACACATTGTAATGGTTTTGATCATAGGCTGACCTCCCAGATCCTCTGTTCTTATCATTTTATTCTGTTCTTGACTCTTTCATTTGTCAACTGAGTTCAGGTTGATGCTGCCATGTATGTCATTCTGTAGTTGTTATGTGTTCTTGTTGGTTCTCAGTTCGAACTTCCTTTAGGATGTTTTTCATAGCAGAGTTAGTTTTGGCAAAATCTTAGTTTCTGCTTATTCTGGAATGTTTTGATTACACCATCGTATTTGATGACAGCTTTGCTGGGTAGAGGATTTTGGGTGGCAGTTTTTTTCTTTCAGGGCTTTATATATCTCTCCCCATTGCCTTCTTGCTTGCATGGTTTCTGTTGAGAAATCTGAACTTAATCTGATTTGGTTGCTTTTGTATGTTATATTTCTCTTTTCCCTGGCTGCTTTCAAGATGCTGTCTTTATCTTTGATTTTGGAGAGCTTGATTATTATGTCTTGGTGATTGTCTTTTAGGGTTTATCCATCCTGGGGTTCGTTGAGCTTCTTGAATGCTTATCTTTTCACTTTTCATGATGTTAGGAAA